GGCAGGACTGTGCCTGCTTTGCCTCCAAGAGCCGAGCACGTAGTAGGCATACAGTACATCTCTGCACAGTGTTGCTGGTGGCAGAGGGCCAAGCTCAGAATCTCAATGGGCCTTTGTAATTCATGCCACCCTCAGGAGGGGTCTTGGGAACTTCAGACTCCCTCTCTGAAGAGAGAATGCAAATTGCCACTTGGCTATATGAACTATAATTAATCTTTTCTCAGCGATAAATCCCTAATTCGTGCTGGATTTGGTTTTGCTTTGTCATTGAAAATGAAAACTGAGTATCTTGAGACATGAACTCACTTTGATCTCAACAAGTGAAGTCAAAGTACAAACTTTCTATAGTGTTTCTGCTTGGAGTGTGCTGACAAACGTCAGACAAGTAGGGTCATGGACATTTCCAAAGGTCTGGGTGGTTAAAAAAAAAAAAAAAGGTCTGGGTGGTTTCATGACTAATCACTGTGATTACATGCTTGTTCCAATACTGGTTCTCTGGCTACAGAGACAGGATTTGTGGGAAGAGGAATGGAGATTTGATCAGAAGAAGTTTAAATAGAAACAGTCCTCCTTTCTACTGGGGTAGAGGGAGAGGGGGTGACTTAGCCCCCCTCCTAGGCTGAGATGAAGCAGGGGTATGAACAGAAAACAAACTGTCAGCCCACCAATGGCACCACCACGTTGCCCACGTGCAGAAATGCAGGGACAAGGGTCCTACATGTCAGGTTGTCATCCCACTGAGGAGCAGGGTTATGTGGTGCCACCCTCAGCCTGGCACCTGCTCACCCTGGCACAAGGGTACACATTCAGGATGCCAAGGAAGGCTTCTGGGGCTTTTTCTGGCCACAGAGAAACTCAAAGGCTGCCTGGAGGAGGTCACAGCTATAATGTTGACCTCGTTTACAATCTCTACCCAGCAGGATAAAAATATCTTCTAAAAAAGAAAGCTTTTAAGAGAACATTCTTAGAAGCCAATTTTCTTAACGCTTACTTCTATATTCCTGAGGCAGCTTGCTCTCAACTGTGATCTGCTGGTCTCAGTAGAAAAAGGTGGCCAGTACTCTGTAAAATCAGAAAGTGGGAGCCACAGGCAGCATCCTGCCAGCAGAAGAGGGTCCAGGCCAGGCCGTCTACTTGTGGCCAACTGGATTAGTAATGGAGCTTTCTTCCAATTGGGAGATGGAGAAAAAAAGATGTGTGTCTTTTGCCTGTTCAGTGGCTTTGGGAGGCTGTAACTTATGTTTGTACCCCAGGTTTTGTGATCAGGAGTGCAGGCACCATCAGAGAAAGCTAGAGAGCAGAGCTGGCTGGAGAGACCAGCCTGGGGTTGTGAGTCAGCTGAGGATCACTCTGGACCAGCTTTCTTACAACTTGGGCCATTTCAGCCTGTTGATGCAATTAAAAAAAAAAAAAAGTGCTGGGGGATATTTCCGGAAACAAAGTCTTTGTAATGCTCAGAACGAACATAGAGAAGAGTGTGTTACTCTTCTAGGAGCTGCTTGTGACAGATGCCAAGAAATCCAGATCAGTTACTTTAGGGGATGAACCCCTGAAGATACTGAAGAACAGGCATTTCCCCTAAAAGTTCACCAACACATGTTCATTGTCCAGCTTCCCTGCAGAGTGCCCCAAGGGAGAATGTACAGGAAACCCTGGTGTCAGGAAGGTGACAGAGGCACTAGTGTGGCTAAGTATCTGTTCATCCTACCACTGTATTCTTCAGAGATGGGTGACATGTCCGTCCCATAGCCCGCCAGAGCAAGATTGGAGGGTATAGCTGCTCTTTGAATTGTAGGTTTTTAAATATTTTATTATTTTTCATGAGAGACACAGAAAGAGAGAGGCAGAGACACAGGCAGAGGGAGAAGCAAGCTCCATGCAGGGAGCCTGATGTGGGACTCAATCCCGGGACTCCAGGATCACACCTTGGGCCGAAAGTAGCCGCTCAACCACTGAGCCACCCAGGCATCCCTTTTGTGTTTTTTTTTTTTTAATTTTTATTTATTTATGATAGTCACACAGTGAGAGAGAGAGAGGCAGAGACACAGGCAGAGGGAGAAGCAGGCTCCATGCATCGGGAGCCCGACGTGGGATTTGATCCCGGGTCTCCAGGATCGCGCCCTGGGCCAAAGGCAGGCGCCAAACCGCTGCGCCACCCAGGGATCCCTTGTTTTGTTTTTAAAGTAATCTCTACACCCCACCTGGGACTCGAACTCATGACCCCGAAGTCAGGAGGCACAGGCTCTGCCAACTGAGCTGACTGGGTGCCCCTGAGCTGCAGTTTGCACAAGAGCAACAGTGCAGTATTCAAGATAGGAAGAAGTTCCTGCAGAAGACTTTGGGTACCATTTTGAAGGTGGAGAAAGAAAGGTGGGCAAGGGGGAGCATTGGTCATAGGCTGTCTCTGTCCCTCGGATGCCATTGGGCTGCACACCATAAAGCTCCCTGTCATCTGGTCTTCAACTTCTTCAGTGTTGAACTTCTTCACGGTGGCAAACATGTGGTTGATACAGGCTGAAGGGAAGTGCAGAGGCTGTCTTCAAACAACAGAACCAGAGACTGCAAAGTCCAGATTGAATTTAGCTGTGTATTTAAATACACTGCTTTTTCATCTCTTGAAAAATAATGAACTTAAAAAAAATCCCTTAGCCTGTTACATGGTTACTTATGTTGGATGAGAGACTGTGTGGTTAATTTTAAAAGTCTGAGGGTGGGGGATCCCTGGGTAGCTCAGCGGTTTGGCACCTGACTTTGGCCCAAGGCGTGATCCTGGGGTCCTGGGATTGAGTCCCACGTCGGGCTCCCTGCATGGAACCTGCTTCTCCCTCTGCCTGTGTCTCTGCCTCTCTCTCTCTTATGAATAAATAAATAAAATCTTAAAAAAAAAAGTCTGGGGCGGGGAGCAGGCACCTGGATGGCTCTGTGGTTGAGCATCTGCCTTCGGCTCAGGTCGTGATCCCAGGGTCGTGGGATTGAGTCCCACACTGGACTCCCCACAGGGAGTCTGCTTCTCCCTCTGCCTGTGTTCTCTGCCTCTCTCTGTGTGTCTTTCATGAATAACTAGATAAAATCTTTAAAGAAAAAAAAAAGTCCATGGAGGGGGACAGGGAGAAGCTGGAGAACAGCATAAAGGTGAACACAGTAGTGTTTTATCTAGATCACTATCAGAAATTCATGCTCTTCTTCTATGAGTGGTGTTTGCATCCTTGAGCCCGGGGTAGGGTCAGGGGGTGGGGGCCAAGCAGCCAGAATCGGTAGAAGCCAGGATGCCCACCCTGTCCCCTTACATACACACATACACACCCTAGATCGGTAGAGCCGGTTTCTCTCTTGTTGCTGTAATATTTTCGGCAACAATCTCTTTAAAATTTTTATTTTCTACTTCACAGGAAAAAGAACCCAATGAACACAAAGCTCTAATTATTTGCCTCACCTCATGTTCATTTCTCATCCTTGATGATATTTATGTACATAGTCATCGATATGTGAATCTACTACTTTGTGTTCGAATTTTTCAGGGCATTAACTATCCATTTCTAGCCATCCTCCACCTGTTGGATTTGAAGGGTAATATCAGATCTTCGCAGTTGTGAGCAGTGATAGCACTCATCCCTAGACAGGTAGGATACGATCTGAGCTAAGCAGAAACCTATTTCAGCTCCCAGACTACTTCAAGAGCTAGAAAAGTTCAGGTCCAGATGAAATGAAGCTAGCTGGGAGGTCTTGGCTCCTTACTACTTTATAATAGGCCATAGGTTTAAAGTCCAATAGGGCTCAGATTTCTGCCTCACGTTTGACATGTGAGGCCTCGGTCCAGATTGCTGCCCTGACTTCCCTGCACCTCGGCCCCGAAAGGGCAATGGGGGTGTTGGGGCCCTGGCCAGCCTCCCTACCAGCGTGCGTGGACGCAGAGACACGGGCCAAGCTGGCATCTGTAACCTGCACGCTCCTCTCACTGGCTCTTCCGGCCTAGGGGAGAAGTGACCCCGCCTGCCCACGGTTGCAGAGTAACTGGTGGATCCGCCTCAGGAGTTGCCGGGACAGGCAGGTGAAATACACGGTGAGCAGCAGGGCCATTCAAAGCCGGGGCAGACTTGCCCAGGCACCATGCGGACGCGGCTCCGCGAAGCACAGATGGACTGGACGTGGCCAGAAGCAGCTAGAATCTCTAAGAGCTGGACCACAGGAAGAATGAAAAAGTCCACAGCTAAGGAGCTAGGGGTGCCTCCCCAAAGGTGGCCTTTTCACCTCATGCCTTTACTCTTTTCCTTTTAAAGTCACACCTAGGATCCCTGGGTGGCGCAGTGGTTTGGCGCCTGCCTTTGGCCCAGGGCGCGATCCTGGAGACCCGGGATCGAATCCCACGTCGGGCTCGAGCCTGCATGGAGCCTGCTTCTCCCTCTGCCTATATCTCTCTCTCTCTCTCTCTATCTCTCTCTCTCTGTGACTATCATAAATAAAAAAAAATAAAGTCACACCTATAATTTATGTAAAATATACCTCATGCTCAGCTTAAATGGTAGTAAGGATTGTCCTAAGAATCTATTTGCAAGTAGAAACTGTTTCTTTCGTTGTTTCTTCACCCGCCCTCCGCATAGCCTTCAGGACAAGGTAAGTGCTCTGCAAGGTTTTGATGAAGAAAGCCCTCTTCTTACCCTCTTCCAAGTTACTGATAAACTCCAGGATGCAATTCCAGTCCCTCTAAGTGAAGTCAGTACTTTGTTCTTAAACAGAGCCGATGCAAGACCTGGGTGATTTGCTGTCTTTGGTTTGTTGTTTTGGTTTTTCCCTTGTGAATGACTTGTGATTTGATACCTCATACAGGTTGAAAACTGTAGTTGATTTTATTGACTGCTGTATAGCAAATAAGATGTTTCACTCCTGATGGATGCATTTGTAATCCCATTAATTAATGTAGTTTAAGATGTCTTTTGAATTAATACCAAAGACAAGTAAAATGTGTAACTCTGTTCCCCCTTCATTGTGTGCCTTTCCAACAGAGCTGTCGATCCCATTGAAATAAAGCTCCGAGGAGATCTATAGATCTGAGCCCTGAGAATTCAGTTTGGATCCTCAGCAGATGGGTGTCAGTATCATCTCCTAGCCAGCAGGATGGAAACCACAGCCTTAAATTCCCAGAAGGAGCTATCAGCATGTAAGGATAAAGAAGACTGTCAGGAAAATGGAGTTCTACAGCAGGGTGTCCCTGTCCCTGAGGATAAGGTGGAGTCTGGCCAAATCTCCAGTGGGTACTCAGCAGTTCCAAGCCCTGGTGCAGGAGATGACCCTCAGCACTCCATTCCGGCTGCTACCACAGCCCTAGTGGCCGAAGTTCATCAAGGGGAACGAGAGGCCTGGGGCAAGAAGATGGATTTCCTCCTGTCGGTCATTGGCTATGCCGTGGACCTGGGCAACGTCTGGCGCTTCCCCTACATATGTTACCAGAATGGAGGGGGTCAGTATCGGGGGTCACACGCAGAGGCTCTGACCCAGGGATGGTCTGTAGATCCTCTTGGGAGGCCAGAGCAGTGATCATGTCTCTTCAGTCTTATCTAACTGATGAGTCTGGGAACCTGATTGCTTAGACTTCCAGGCTGGTCCAAAAAACAAATCCCAGAAGTCAAATGTTAGGTTAGCATGTCTGAGGCTCTCTGAGTTATGAAATTGGATAAAGCTCTCCCAAACCTGCCCTCACCAGATTTTCAGCATCCTTAGTGCTTTGTGGAAGAGCCCCCTTCTCATCCCTGCATTATCCAAGCTCTGCTCTCACAGCAAGAGAATGGCCATCAGCACTGTGCATGTTCTGCTCAGCAGAGTCCAGAGAGGTTACATCTGTGTAAGGAAAAATTGGGAAGTGGGTCTGGAGTCACCAGACCCTCCCGGGCCTTTGGACCTGTGTGTGGTCAGAGAAGGGCGTCAGCTTAGGTTCAGTCTTGAGCTGGAACCTGAGCATGATCCACAGCTGAACCCAGCCACAGCCTGGCATTAATGATAACCCCAAACCATCCACTGAATCTGCCTCATGTCTCCTACAAGGGTGCTAAATTTTTGAGGCTAGAGACTATTTCATATTCCTCCTTTTTTTTAAAGATTTTATTTATTTAATCATGAAAGACACACACACACACACAGAGAAAGAGAGAGAGAGAGAGAGAGAGAGAGAGAGAGGCACAGGCAGAGGGAGAAGCAGGCTCCATGCAGGGAGCCCGACATGGGACTCGATCCTGGGTCTCCAGGATCACGCCCTGGGCTGAAGGCGGTGCTAAACCGTTGAGCCACCGGGGCTGCCCCATAGTCCTCCTTCTACCCTTAACGGCTTCAGAGCAGTTAACTTTGTAGATCATCAAAAAGAGTAGTTGACTATAGTCATGGCAATGGGAGCTGCAGAGAGTAGAATGGAGAGGAGGGAGTAGGTATGGGGCCTTTGCGTTGACATTGGACTTGCCATCAAAATGGGAAAAAGGACAAGAAGTGGAAGTGAAATCAATCAATATTTATTTTGACAGAAGCTCTGGCAACTGATTTGGGAGGGCAGCTAAAATGAAATTTGGGAAAGAATTCATTAGTGTCCTCATTTCCTCGATGGCATGACGCAGAGTTGCCTGGATTTGCTGCATTTTTAAAGAACCTTGGTCCATGTGACTGCAAAGGCAGCTCCAGGGGGCCTGGGAAGCCCAGCCCTCCTTGCCGGGAAGGAGCAGAAGCTACCACTAGCCTAGGAGGGCTCACATTTTGCTTGAGCGTTTTATAAGGGCCTGGGGGTACTGGTGATGTTTCTCCCACCCTCATTCCCCACTATAAAGCCAGTCAAGCAGATCCATTGGACAGATGCCAGCATGAAAACACAACATGGTTCTTATTCTCAAGCCAGATGTTGTCAGGGTGTTTGTAAGTCAGGTGGGAACTTTCTGAGTTGCACTGCCTTCTGGGTTCAAATTTAGCGGTGAAAATCACAGCTGACCCACCCTTTGGGCTAAAATTCAGGCAGCAGGTGAGCAATTCCCACTTTAGTGTTTCCAAATTCTGTCTCAGCCATGAGAGCCAGGGGACACCAGGATCTCCAGTGACGCAGCAGTTCCGCACTTCCTCATTCTGTGGTAAACTGACCATTTCAGCCACATCTGCAAAGGGTGGTTAAAGAGGGAAGCATTCTGGCTTAGTGGGATTGTGGGAATATAGCCAAATATCAGTAATAAGTGTCTGGAGCCAGGGATGATACGGATGAACAAAGATACGAATTCAGGGATTTGTAGATTATTGCAGCGATCATGCAGGTTGTCATAGGTGATCTGTCCTAAGGGTCTCAAACTCTGGTTGTGTTAGAATCACTTGGGCAGCTTAAAAATTACCTTTATACACCCATCCCTGGAACTTCTGCTTCAGGGAGTCTGGGTGGATGTGCGTTCTTAAACTCACCACCAGTGATTCCTGTGTGTGGCTGGTGTGGGGAGGCTCAGCCCACCTCAATCCTATCATTTCATGCTCCCATGACAGGTTCAGGGAGGGGTGGTGACCAGGGTCCCCTGGGTGGTTAGAAGCGCAACCCATTCCAGGGCCTGGTCTGTTGATACCAAATCCAGCTTTCTTTCCATGTACTCTCTGGCTCCTTCGTTTACTCTCTGAAACCCCTCTTTGACCGTGGAGTTCTGGCAAAGCACTAAGACCAGGGGCACCGTGTGAGGTCATTCAACACAGGGTGGCTTTGTGATACTTGAGTGTCAGATGGCCCTGTGAATCTTGGCATGACCCCTGGTGTCCAGATCAGTTGGGTTGTTCTGGGGCAGATGTGGGCAGGGGGTGAAATTGTCTTTCATCTACCTCAGGGGCATTCCTCCTCCCCTACACTATCATGGCCATTTTTGGGGGGATCCCGCTGTTCTACATGGAGCTCGCGCTGGGCCAGTACCACCGAAATGGATGCATTTCAATATGGAGGAAAATCTGCCCGATTTTCAAAGGTAACTGAAAGGCTTGCTGGGTGGGTAGGTGAGTGCATCCTGCAGGGAAGGTGATTTCCGTCAATGTGTGGGAGCCAGGACCTTCTTCTGGAATCAGGCCTTAAGGTATCTCTGGGAAATAACTGAGTAATTAAGTTTTTGACTGCTCAAGTGGCATGAAATTGTTAAAAGGAAACAGAATAAATGACAAAAGTAAACCTGGGGCACTTAGCTGGTAGAGCAAGCAACTCTTGATCTCGGGGTCATGAGTTCGAGCCCCACATTGGTTGTAGAGATTACTAAAAAAAGAAACTTAAAAAAATAATAGAAGTAAAATAAGCATTAAAAAAATAAAAGTAAACTCAATAGAGTCCTATAAATATAGAGGATAAACTGGTGGTTGCCAGAGGGAAGGAGGTGGTGGATGGGCAGAATGGGTGAAGGGGGTGAGAGGTATGGGCTTCCAGTTATGGGATGAATCAGTCACGGGGATGAAAGGCACGGCCCAGGGAATAGCGGCAGTGGTGTTTGTAATGTCGTGTGGTGACCGATGACAGCTACGCTTGTGGTGAGCAGAGCATAACGTGTAGATTGTTTATCTGTGTTGTACACCAGAAACTAATGTAACATTGTGTGTCAACTATATTCAAATAAAAATATTTTTTAAAGCAACCAAACTAGAAAAAGTTTAAAGCATTAACAGTACACGCACTTGCACACACACACACACACACACTTATTTTGTCAAACGTGTAATCTTACAAATACATCTAAGGAATTTACCACATTGCCACCTGCCCACCATCCCCCAGGTCTTGGGGGACGTGGCAAATGGCAGCCCCTGCCGCCCCCCCTCACCTGAGCTGCAGGGCCCTCCAAGGCCCAGGCTGCCCTGTAAACATGGCCTACCGTCCCCTCCCTTTCCCAGGGATCGGTTATGCCATCTGCATCATTGCTTTCTACATTGCCTCCTACTACAATACCATCATGGCCTGGGCACTCTACTACCTCATTTCGTCCTTCACGGACCAGCTGCCCTGGACCAGCTGCAAGAACTCCTGGAACACTGGCAACTGCACCAACTACTTCTCCGGGGACAACATCACCTGGACGCCCCACTCAACGTCCCCTGCAGAAGAATTTTACATGTAAGTGAGGGGGTGGTCTGTTAGGTGCAGGTCACACCCCTGGGACTTGGCTTCCAAGGAGGGAGGCAGAGGCTCTTTATCTCTTTCCAGATTTATGAGAAATGCAACTCTGAGGGCAAGGGAGGTAAATGTAAGAGAGGGAGCAGCAAGGCCAGCCCCAGGCAGATTTGGAATCAGGGGGACTCTACCTTGGGTGCTCCCTAATATGGCCTTCTGTGTTGTCCCCCTCCTTTCCAGCATGGCAGGCCAGGCTGCCCCAGTGTGCCCAAGTCCACCCCTTTTTGCACATTCTGAAATTACTCCTTGTGTCAGAAGCACCTTCTTCCTGGACCCCACTCTCAGCCACTTGTCATGGAATCAAAGCCTCCCACTGCTTCAGTAGTTGGAAACTATTCAGAGAGTTTCTAGTATCATGTGTTCACTTCACAAGTGGGACCTACCCTTTGGAGTAGGTAGTACTCTTTAATGCCAGAATTTCTGGCAGTTGCAGCCCAAGAGAGAGTAATTTTGGGGTGGGAAGGGACCCACCTGCACACACAGCCAGGAAAGGAGATGCCTGAAAGTCGGCCTTGGGAGCTGAGTGCTCCTCCCGGGGTTTGTGGGCCAATTGTGCCGCCCTGTGCCTCAAGATGGGCAGAGCCAGAAGTTCCTAAGGCTGGTCCTTGTAGGGCGATGTCCGCTTCTTCTGGCACCTGCCGGAGCTGTCACAGACCACCAGCTCAGCGTGCTGCTCAGGCCATCTCACAGACCTTTCTTTCTCACTCACTCCAGGCGCCACGTCCTGCAGCTCCATCGGTCTAATGGACTTCAGGACCTGGGCGGCATCAGCTGGCAGCTCACCCTCTGCATCATGCTGATCTTTGCTGTTATCTACTTTAGTATCTGGAAAGGTGTCAAAACATCAGGCAAGGTGAGGAGGACTCTGGCTGTGGATCCAGGCCTGCCAAGGGGTCCCAGAGGATTCAAATTCAGAACTCAGTATCCTGGACAGCCACAGACAGAGGGACATTGTTTCTTTCAACACTAAACATGATTCATGATTCACAATTCATTTGATTTCTCTTTACCAAATCTGTTAAAAAATTCTAGAAATGGGCCAATCCCAAGAACCATTGTATGATTTTTATTTTTTTATTTTATTTTTTTCATTGTATGATTTTTAAAAAAGAATTCCTTTAACCTATCTGTGGTGTCACAATTAATAAAAATGGCAATAATTTATTGAAAACCCATGATGGGCCATGATCAGTGCGTTATTGATCACTGGCTACTTTATTATCTTTTGCTGGGTGTTTTCCCATATTACAGATGGGAAGTGGGTTTAGAGGTGGTAGTACTAGCAAGCTGTGCACCAGATCCCTGTCTGGTTCAAAAGGCTCTGATATTTCAGCCATGTCACCCTGCATCCTATAGTTACAGAAAAGGAGAGGTGTGTCTCCTTTCTAGGATGTTTTCAAGAATGAAAGACACCAACATCTATCTACCTGCTGACCACCTGTGTTTCTACTCCCTTCCTTTACAGGTGGTATGGGTGACAGCCACCTTCCCTTATATCATCCTTTCTATCCTGCTGGTAAGGGGGGCCACCCTCCCCGGAGCCTGGAGGGGTGTTCTCTTCTACTTGAAACCCAACTGGCAGAAACTCCTGGAGACAGGGGTAAGATGATGAGGAAAACTATGCGCACCTGTCTGTCATTTTACCAAATGAAGCTCAATAGGGACAACTGAAATTTAGGTTCAGTGGCAAGTTTGCAATAATATTATAAATCAGAAATGCAAGCATGAAAAGTACAGTCAAGGCCAGGGAATTGGTTTATGCCAAAACGTGAGGAAGAGAAATCACATTTGTTTGCACTTGGTATGTGGCTGCCCCTGGAAGGAGCTTGAAACCTGGTTTTTCACTTTGCATGGAGCCACATGGAGGTGAGAGCGCTGGCCCTGGCTCAGTTCTCACCCTTACGTCTCCTGCCTTCCAGGTGTGGGTGGATGCTGCTGCTCAGATCTTCTTCTCTCTTGGTCCTGGCTTTGGGGTTTTACTGGCTTTTGCTAGCTACAACAAATTCAACAACAATTGTTACCAGTGAGTATCTGGGGCTCCCCAAGCAAAGCTTGAATGTAGGGTGAGCATAGTCAGCTGGCCCGGAGGAAGGCAACCGAGCTTATGGCCTCAAACTTGGCTGGGCTTAGGCGTACCACAGGTCCTTAACCAGCTGCACCATGGCCAGAGCACCCACCTAGTCCATAGCCTCACCCAGGCCATTCAGAGATTGAGAGGGGCCCCAGGCCAATTCCATTTGGTGAGAGTCTCTGTGTATAAAAAAAATTAAATTCCAAAACAGATTTACTAAAATCGCAACATATATTAAATATTTAGATTTCACTTATTAATGTGTTTAACAAAAATTATAATGTGACCATTTATTTATGTACATTTTCACAAAAGTATAATGATTGAGTTATTCTGACCAATGCAAAATGCCATAATTTTTGTGGCAAAATCTCATTTCAGAAATTTTGATGAAATAGGGAGTGTAGTACCAATTACAATTTCAATATCACTCATCATCTTTAGAGTTAACTTTGTTTTAATGCTCTATAACAGATGGCAGTGTCCAGCAGTCTAATGGTGCTGTTCACAAGATAATTACAGAATTCATTTTTTCTTAAAAGGTACCCTAATCAATGTGGCATTGCACTGAGACACCAGCCTGAAGTTGGATGACAAGGTCTTCTTTTAAAAGTGTCAGGATATCCCTATGGCGGTCTTGTAACCTATTTGCACATAATGTTTATAGTCTAAATCTGAGGGCTTCATAAATGTGAGGCCAAGGCCCTCAGATGGCCCGACTCCAATCCGGGCCCTGCTTCGGAGCAATTCTTATTTGAAGTCAAGAAATCTGTGTTCCAGTTCACAACAGGACCGTCTCTTTAACCAGTCCTGACCTGCAGCTCTCCCCTCCCATGCATGGCGGTAATGGCAGCTGCCAACCAGTCTGAGAGGCAGGGACTGGGAGGAGGGGAGGGGACACCAGGACAGGCCTGAGGTCCCTGCGGGTTCAGCTGGCTCACCCTGCCTTAGCTGGAGACAGATGCTCTTGAGACTCTCTACTTGGAAATGTCTCAGACCACATGGGTTTTCTGCTCTAGAGACGCCCTGGTGACCAGTGTGGTGAACTGTATGACGAGTTTCGTGTCAGGATTTGTCATCTTCACAGTGCTCGGATATATGGCTGAGATGAGGAACGAAGATGTGTCTGAGGTGGCCAAAGATGCAGGTGGGAACTTGGGTTCTCTTTACATGCCTTGCTCTCACTGAGTTGCTTGGCTACTCTTTGGATCCTTACAAATATATAACTTTTGAATTATTTCTAAGTGTTCCTCTAAAAATTTTCCACAGTTTTAGAGAAACTCACTGCCTCTGTGTTTAGCCATGGTGGGGATGCGGCAGCACCCATGGCATCTGGTTCTAGGGCCTTCAGTACACTATGGGCTTGAAAATATGACTTGGATGAGGGCTTTTAGAACCAGTCGGTTTGGGTCTGGCAATGAGTCCAAGTCTAGTAAGTAAGCAAACGATTACTAATCCTTAGAATTTCCCCTTGCAGAAAAATAAAATGTAGATGACATAGTCCCTCTACTGTATTATGAGGTTTTCATGGAAAAGAAGTGACAGATATTGAAAAAGTGGCAATGGAATCTTGTGGATGGAATCCCAGGGCTTTCTTGCTTCTGTCTTTGGCCTGATGCATAGCTCCAATCATTCCTGTACTCCAAACTAAGGTACCCCTATCTAGCTCATGAGAGATTGAGGACATGTCCCTCACACTATCAAAAGGGACTTTAAAATAGTAGGAGATCTTTATTCCAAGGACTCTATGACTCTTTTGCAATCAGTTTCACATTTCCTACCATTCTGGAGCTCTGGAGCTAAAGCCATCAGAAAGAGCTAAATGCTATAGGGCTCTCAATCCTGGCCCTGGAAAAAAAAGCTCTGAATTATATGGTAGAAACTCTTATTCCTGTATACAGCTTTGTTAGTCTTAGGGTCTTGGATTTGTTTCTCTTTCCCCCATTAATTGAGGGTTCACAATTTTCAAGATGGATACTATTCCCTCCTGGCCTTGCATGATATTGGGATGGGCAAGTAGAATGGTGTGGAGCGTGAGCAAGAATTTGGTATGTGTTAAAGCCTAATTCATGTGTAAGGCCTTGTGACAAGAATTGTCATTGTTGGTGTGGCTGAGTTTCCCCCTGAGACATCTTTGCAGGGAAGGTGTTGGTGACCACCACCTCCTCTCTCCCGCTCTGTTTCAGGCCCCAGCCTCCTCTTCATCACATATGCAGAAGCCATAGCCAACATGCCAGCATCCACTTTCTTTGCTATCATCTTCTTCCTGATGTTGATCACACTGGGCCTGGACAGCACTGTGAGTGAATGGGGAGGGAAACCTGGCTTTTTGGTGGAGATAGGGGAAGAGGAAGCAGGGGAGTGGGAGGAAGGTGGACCTATCCCTCCCATCCCAGCCACCCCAGACATTGGCTACTTCCTCCTGGGGTTCCCTCAGCCCTTTGCTCAGCCCTCACTGTGGTGCTCTTGATCTTTAGTGCATTTAGAGGGTCATAAATGGGCTAATGAGTGAGGTGTCTGCATAGGCCAGGGCTCAGCATATGTGAACTATTATTACTATACCCTGTTCCTTGACCAGATGGCAACAGCCAAAGGCCAGAGCAAAGTCACTCTTGTGTCTCCGTACCCTGCTGTCTCACATTTGTCTCAGCACCTTGTATTTACTTATTAGTGGGAGATGACTTTCAGCTTTGAGCTGGCCTTTCTGGTACAACCAAAGTCTCCCCAAGAGACCTCACATAAAGAAGTCCTATCTAGGGGCTCCTGGGTGGCTCAGTCAGTTACGTGCCTGCCTTTGGCTCGGGTCATGATCTCAGGGTTCCGGGATTGAGCCCCATGTCTGGCCCCATGCTCAGCAGAGGGTCTGTTTCTCCCTCTGCCCCACACTCTGCTTGTGTGCTTTCTCTCAAACAAATAAATAAAATATTTTTTAAAAAAGAAGTCTTTTCCAGGTACTATATTTTCTTTCCTTGATATCCTTAGGGCTGGGTTCTAAATGACACTGTAAAACAGGGTGGTATATTTCCAGTGAGGGCCAGTGTAGAAGGGGATCTACTCATGACCAGCAACTCTCTCTCCTGTTTGTTGTCCTTAAAGGTAACAGACTTGTTTGTGATTGCTCCAGCCCTCCCTTGTGATTGCTTGTGTGTCCCTTTCAGTTTGCAGGCTTGGAGGGGGTGATCACAGCTGTGCTAGATGAGTTTCCACACATCTGGTCCAAGCGCCGGGAGTGGTTTGTGCTTTGTGTGGTCATTACCTGCTTCTTTGGATCCCTAGTCACCCTGACCTTTGTGAGTACCACAATTCTCAGCTTTGCACAGCCTCCCCTGGGACAGCAGAACACTGCAAGAACCTGTTCCTTTCCTCCCATCCTATATGGTGCCCTGAGGCCATATAAGGGGACAAAGTAAGAGGGGTTGACACTGCTGTTAAAATGTCACCAGGGACCAGAAGAGCAATGGTTTCTGGCAGCATCTGTTGGTAGAATCTGTGCATGTAACTGAAGGTCTTAGCATTTTACAGGAGACTCAACTAGATTTCAGGCTTGACAGAGTATCTGGAGAAATAAGATTTGCTTCTCGGCTTTCATGGGATTATTGCCCTGATGTCCTGATATGCAGAATATCTGAAGGCTGGCATCTCATGCTTGTAATGTCACTTTGTCTCCTCCAGAGAATTTGCAATGGTGAAGAAGTCAGACCATCTCCCATGATTTTTTATTTTTATTATTTTTTTATTTTTATTTTTGTAGCTGAGGCAAATACTGTAAAACAGAATCTGATAGAACCCACAGGCATCCTAGGCTTGTGTCCTCCTGACTCAGGGTAGATTTTGAAGACATGCATCTTCAAGCCATCATCCCAATGGCTCTGGAGCTTCAGCGGGTGGTGGGGGGGAGGGTTGGGGAAGCTGAGGAGGACCCAAGGAATTGGTGAGTTAAGACAGAAGGTGATACCAGGACTTGGGCTCTGTGTGTCTGATATTGTGTGAACTCTCCCAGGTTCAGTCTCTAGGGACCAGGATTCTTTAGGGTAGAGTACACAGTAAGTGTTCAGTAAATTGAAAGTTGAAAACAGATCTAGGGGTTCTTTTGAGTCTGTCTCTTAAAGCTTAGTGGGAGAGGAAACAGGGAGAGAGTGCTCCATAGGACAGGAAGAGACATCTGATGGAGTGAAATCTGGCCCACACTGCAAGGGCCTAAGAGGCAGGCTCTAGGGTATTTATATTAGGTCTAATGCAGGAATTATCCTAAGTTAAGAACCTGCTTTTGGCTTTCATCATAAAGAGGAGGTAGTGCCTCAGAAGGTCCTTAATCAGGTTTGTGATCTCATTTCCAGGGTGGGGCATACGTGGTGAAGCTGCTGGAGGAGTATGCCACAGGGCCCGCAGTGCTCACCGTTGCACTTATAGAGGCAGTTGCCGTGTATTGGTTTTATGGTAAGATGCTTCCTTCTGCCAGTCATGAGCCTTTCTACACCAGCTAGTAGCCACCAGAATAAAGAAGGGCAGATTTCATCAAAGAAAGCCAGAGCAGGGTATAAGATGTCACCTGCCTGGGGGTCTGTAAAACAACCCCAGCAGAGTGCCTGCTTCAGAAACAGGTCACCTTTTCCTTCACGCTCTACCACAAATTCGCCTTACTTGTGGAAAGACATTTTTTTTCCTTCTGAGTTTAAATGTTCACCCAGCAGAGACAGGCTGAAGTAATTCCGTATAGCTCATCTGTAGTGGATGCTTAAAATATTGTTTGGCTCTAAGAAGTGCACAGACAACAAAGAAATAGTGCAAAGTGAATGCATTTGTTAGAGTGTACAATATACTACTACTTTATAGAGTTGGCCGCCAATTTAAATTTTGTAAGAAAGAGCCCCTCCGCAAAGCCTTGAGATAGAGTTTAGGAGATTATCTTCCAGGGAAGAGGCAGGAATGTTCCTGTTTGCATTATCTGCTTTGGTAAAATCTCCAGTTCACTTTCTATGAGCCTGGGATGGAATCTGATAAGGCTGACACTAGCAGGAGCACAGAGAGTGAGCTAACATGGGTCTGTTGGCAGGGGGTCCCAAGAATCCGTGGGTGAGGATGGGGATGACCCAGGCAATTGAAACAAAGAGAGCCAGGTTCAGGGGTTCCTGGCTGGTTCAGTCTGTAGAGCATGTGACTCTTGATTTCAGGCTTATAAATTCAAGTCCCACAATGGGTGTAGAGATTACTTAAAAAATAAATAGATAAAATCTGAAAGAAGAATAGAGAAAGAAAGAAGAAAGAAAGGAAGAAAGAAAGAAAGAAAGAAAGAAAGAAAGAAAGAAAGAAAGAAAAAATAGAAAAGAAAAGAAAAGAAAAAAAAAAACCAGGCTTGGAGATACCTCTCTTCATCTTTAAAATCAAGAAGTGATTATTTCATTCTGAAAATGTATTGATTTTTCCTAGTTTCTATGGTAATAAAACAGCGTTAGCATGTTTGCCATTATACATAATATGAAGAAGGGGAGGCCCCATATTCTGAGTTGCACATGGGCCCAGTTTTTAAAAAAGAATTCCTCCCTACCTTCTCAGTGATGAGGACAGAGTTCAGAGTATGTGCATCGCTGTGGACCTCGCAGTGCTGGATTCTCAGGGAAGCAGCTGCAGCCTAGTCTTTCCTTCCCAATCTCTCACCAGTCAGGAGTTCTCAGTTCTCTCCTTCACATACTCTTTATAGAAGAACCTTGGTCTTGATCCGGCATATGAATGGTCAATATGTGGTTAAAATTTTATCTTGAAAGTTTCCAGTGTTGGGTCAGTCTCTTGTTAAGTGGGCTCACAATTCCTAGATAAAATTCAACTTTCTGGGGTACCTGGGTGGTTCAGTGGTTGAGCGTCTGCCTTTGGCTCAGGGTGTGATCCTGGGGTCCTGGGATTGAGTCCCACACTGGGCTCCCTGCAGGGAGCCTGCTTCTCCCTCTGCCTGTGTTTCTGCCTCTCTATGTGTCTCTCTTGAAAAAATAAATAAAATATTTTTCTAAAAATTCAACTTTATTTTCTGCAGTAACAATAAAATCAAACATGTGCTGAGATCTTAGAAAGGCAGTGTGGGCACCAGGAGGGGCTTTGGGTCCCTGCCCAAATGTCCACCCAGCCCCCACTCTATGTAGACAGAACATTGCTTGTATCAGGTGCAGTTGTTGTGTAACGAGTCCGCCGTCTCAACTTCAGAGCAGATTGGTGCCCCTGAGCCCAACTGAGGAGGAATTCCAGAGCTGCTACTGTTTCTGAGAATCAAGGGGTAAGACGGGCCATGTCCTCCCTCAGTCAATCTCTTTCTCTTGTGCGTGATTCTAGGCATCACTCAGTTCTGCAGTGACGTGAAGGAAATGCTTGGCTTCAGCCCTGGATGGTTCTGGAAGATCTGCTGGGTAGCCATCAGCCCTCTGTTTCTCCTGGTGAGTGGTCGTTTCCCTCTCCTTCTGGCTCTGAAGAGTCACCCAAACACTTATAAAAAGTAAATTGTATTGAGGTGTAACGTATACAGAAAAGTGTATAAATCTTAAGTGTGAGTCTTATTGGAGTTTTATAAATCAAGCACACTTTTGCAGCAAAAACCATGCTAAGAAATAAAAGCATGACCTGCACTTCTGAAACCCCACTGGCGTCCCCTCTGAGTCACTGCCCTCCCCATGCTTCCCACCTCTTCTGATTCCCAGCACCACGAAAGGGTAGGCTGGGCTAGAGTCCCTGCTGCATGTGTCACATCACTCCCCAGCTCAGTGATAATGATAAATAACACTTATTGAATATGCACTGCCAGGCCAGACTTTGTGCTAAACTTACACTCATTGCTCTATTAATCCTTACAATTCTGTGAACAATTCTTCCTAACACCCCATTTTACAGTTAAGGAAATTGAAGTCTAAAGGGTCCCAGGTCACATGACAAGTAAGACCTTTTCAAGACCTGGGAAGGATTTACTGAGCTTCGCTTTCAAAGGCCCTAGGAGAGGTCCTTATAATTTCTTATTCTTTCTCTTATCCGTCACACAAAAGTCCTCAAGCATAGGCCTGAGTCAAAAGTAGAATCCATTTGTTGACAAAGGACTCTGGGTAAGAACGTTCAGTTCTAAGTGTTGCCTATTTGTCAAGACATGATCGGCTGTCCCTACCCCTTGCAGCATGTGCCTCTGCCTTCCTTCTGGTATCCTTCTGAAGGAGACACTTGCCCCAAGGTGGCTAAGTGTCCCGGACTTGGCCTGGTAGTTCCTATTACAAGTTCCCTGGTGCTTTTAGGTAGATTAAAAACACATGTATATTTTTCTTTCAAATTTTTATTTAAATTCTAGTTAGTTAACATATGCTTTAATATTTAGTAGAGTAGAATTTAGTTATTTTATGTTTTGAAAGATTTTATTTATTTATCCATGAGAGATACAGAGAGAGGGGCAGAGACACAGGCAAAGGGAGAAGCAGGCTCCCTTTGGGGAGCCCGATGCGGGACCCAATCCCAGGACCCCAGGATCACGACCTGAGCCGAAGGCAGATGCTTAACCACTGAGCCACCCACGCGTCCCAGTAGAGTAGAATTTAGTGGTTCATCACTTACGTACAACACCCATTGCTCATCACATCACATTGTGCCCTCCTTAATGCCCATCACCCAGTAACTCTGTGTCCCACATCCCTCCAGCAGCCCTCAGCTTGTTCCCTATAGTTAAGGGTCTCTTATGGTTTGCTTCCCTTTTTTTCTCTTTTTTCCCCCTTCCGGTGTTTATCTGTTTTGAAAATGTGTATTTTTTTTTTAAAATTGAGAAGTTTGGTTGTTTTTGGTAAGAGGGTTGGCATTGAACCACCTAGTCTGCCATAACTAGAAGCAGAAGTGCTGACATAAATGGATTATTAATTTATATTAATAGCAGTGCTGCTTTTTTTAAAGATTTTATTTATTTATTCATGAGAGACACAGAGAGGGAGCGAGAGAGGCAGAGACACAGGCAGAGGGAGAGGCATGTGGGACTCGATCCCAGGACCCTGGGATCACAACCTGAGCCGAAGGCAAAGGCTCAACCACTGAGCAACCCAGGTGCCCCAATAGCAGTGCTTCTTGATAATCTACTTAAATCCTTTCATTTGTTTTTCAAAGGAAGAGGAGACATTGCATTATTTCCTTGAGGGAAGAAGCTATATCTGTCTGTTTACTTGTGTTTCCCCCACATGGTTGAGGAAACAATGTCCAGGCCTGGGATTTGGGAGAGGCAAGTTAGGCATGCACCACATGTGTCAAATTTAAGGGGGTGCCATAAACCTCAGTAATCAGGATAAAGACTATTTTAATATAGTATTTTTTAAAAAACAAAACTAATGCAAAAGAAGTCCCCAGTCAATAGAGTTCAAGATTTTAAATAAACACAAAATCTGACCCCATACTTGCATGTCTCACCTCACTGACCCTAATCTGGCCCTTTTAGTTCTTGTCTTTTTAAAATGCTGCATTCACATATTACTTCTTGATTACTGAAATTTACTTAAATGTTATGCCCAAGGTGAGTGCCTCGCATGCTCCACGGTCGTTCCGGCTCCAGGCTTTTACTACTTTAATTTCTGCACACCTCTGGTTGTCTTACAGACTGGGTGAACACTTGGTTTACAGTGAGTTTCTTTGCCCAGCAAAACTCACACACAGATTTGTGTTCAGGGATATTCACTCATAATTCCTGTGATGTTTGCTTTACTCACTTCCTCTAAAGGCAAATGCTCCAGAGCCCAATTAAGAGGAGGCAAATCTGTCTTCTACTTGTGGGTTTACTGAACCCAGAATCCCTTGCTCTGTGCTTTTTAAGGCTGCTTTTGGTAAACAATGAGTAGCTTACTAAAAATATTCTTTTTCACGGAAGCCAAGCTACAAAAAAAGAAAATACTGTATATGAGCAAGGAGAGGCAAAGGGGTGTACGGGGCAGCACTTTTTACTCCCACAAGAGCTTGAGACCTCTGGGAACTGCATTGGATTTCACACACCTGACATCAAGATGAGATGAGCTAGAGAAGGGAGGGCTCCTAACCATGTCTATCCCATCTTTTCTGTGTTCCTTAGCTGGGTCGAGGTGTGAGTAAATGCGGAGAAAGGTTTGCAATTGGCCAGGTCCTGTTTGGAAAGCTTCCTCCCAGATGTAGGATAATACTGTTGGGAAGATGGATGTGTGTTTAACAACTTCCCATTTTGTTCCTGCTGACAAAGAAAAAAATATATTAGTAGATGTTTAACCACACAATTTACGTTACTGCTTTCTTTATGACTATGAAGTAATACAATAAAATTAAATCAAGAGCCGTAATGATTTTGGTCCAGTAGTTACTAGGCAAAAACTGGTAGTTACACTCTCTCTAGAAACCAAACCAAGGTAAGGAAACTTATAAACCACAGGTTGGGAGCACATCGTGAAATTTTTCTTAGGAGACATTTTCACTTGAATTTTCAAGTAAAAAGTACATTAAGCTGCTTTTTCTTTCCATTATTCCTTTCATGACGAGGGCCTATGGCAGGCAGTCACTCGTTGTTGAGATGGGTCCTGGCTGAGCTATCCTTGTGAAAACCCCAGGCAAAGGCGCTCAATGCAGAAAAGCAGAGAGCTCAAGAAAAGGACAAAGAGGGAACACACACCCAGGAGTCCACATCCTCTCCAGGTCTTGAGAATCTTAATATCTCTCCTGGACATAGGTAACTTCCATCTGACAGCTGAGAAATGCAGGACAAAATGAAAACAGCTCAGAGAACTGTGAAGCCTTAGGACTGGCAGGAGCCATACAGAGGTCCTCATCCAGTTTATTCCTCACTGTCTGGTGAGACGGGGCCCAACTACTCTTAATAGATGCCAGTCTCTTCCCTTTTGCCCTGAAGGGGTTGCTTTAACTCCTTGTAAACAACCTTCTGGGCCCTTGGCATCTCCACCTGGCTTTTTTACTGTTACAGCTTGGGCAGAGAAATGAGTGGATTCTATGCACCAATCTAGAATATATCACATTTGGGGAATTTCCTGAAAGGAACTCAGCTTTAGCATTTAGTGTTCATGGTATCAGAACTGTCTGGAAGGATATTGTTATGATTTTTAATGTTTTTTGGCATTTCTGTTTCAGTTCATCATTTGTAGTTTTTTGATGAGCCCGCCACAGCTACGACTTTTCCAATATAATTATCCACAGTGGAGTATCATCCTGGGTTACTGCATAGGAACCTCATCTTTCATCTGCATCCCCACATATATAACTTATCGGCTGGTCACCACTCCAGGGACATTTAAAGAGGTAGGTACTAGTGTGTATGTTCAGACTAGTAATTGTTTGGGGAGAAAAGGATTTTCTTATTCTGCTCTATTCAAAGGAGATAAGTTAACCATGTGAAGTTCACCAGCTGGTTCTCAATCTTATATATTTATATACCAAAACCAATGTGCAGAGCTATAATGGTTGCCACTCATAGGAGCCTTAGATGCAGTGGCAAAAGTGTGAGTTGTTATTTGCATGCACCACAGCACACAGGTTGAGGTGTGTATAGCATTCTACACTTATCAGATGACTATTTTGCCTTCTGCTTGCCATTGGGGATGGACATCAGATCTGTAATGTCTGAAGCAATACATATATTTTTTATTAGAGATTTGTTTATTTGAGAGAGAGCCTACGAGCAGTGGGAGGGGCACAGGGAGAGGGAGAGAGAGAATCCTCAAGCAGACTCCCCAGTGAACCCAACACAGGGCTCCATCCCAGGACACCAAGATCATGACCTGAGCTGAAATAAAGAGTCAGCCACCTAACTGACTGAGCCACCCAGATGCCCCTGAAGCAAGACACATATTTTGATTTAAGTGGAGATTATGGTGGAAAATGTCCCTTGTCATTTTTCTAACATCAGTGTGATGAGTGCTATTTTGAAAATCATCACTAAATAAAGATGTTACAGCAATATAATTGTTTTAGCTCAAACCATTGGAATAAAAAAGTCACCATTATAGTAATATTAATACAGTAATGAATAATGTGCTATAAAATTTTCTTTTTTAAAAAATTTTCTTATTAAAACCTTATAATTTGTGTAAGATTGTATAGTTTCTAAAGCATCTTCATGTAGATTATCTCATTTTGCTATCAGCACCCTTGTAAGGTGGATGGGCAGATATTCTTAGATGTAAGATATTGAGGCTGGGAATAATCTTGCCAAAAGTTCCTTATTTCAACGACTTGTCCAAGGACATAACTATGGGAAGCTCAGAATCCAGGTGCAGTTTTGTTCACTTTTGTCCTCAGGGTATCTATAGTTTATGTAGAAACTTGTACTAGAGGTTCAGGAGCAATGAGTTGCCATTTTTCATCTAGTGCCACCGGGGTTCCCAGTAACGTGGTATTTCATTACTTTGAGAATTGAAAATGCTTGTGTTGTTACTTGTTTGGTTATCTTTCTTGCCATAGCAAAAAGGTTACTGTGGCAGAGGAGCCTAAAGAAGTCTGCAGGTCGGTGCTTTTGTAGGAGATGAGTGCAAAGGTGAAGAGTGGTGTTGGGGAAAGCTAGAAGGGACCTTATCTGTAATGACCTGAGAATGGAAGTGGGCTAGTCTACTGGCTCTTATATGCAAAGCTCAAATGTGAGACCATCCTACTCACCTTCCTAAAACATTTCATAAGAAACATTAAGCAAGGGAATATAAGGCAATTAAACATCAGCTCTTTCTCAAAAGAGATGAGTTCATTTCTTTTTCCAAAGAGAAAAACTGAATCCTAGATGAACAGAACTCTGCAAGGAGTTATTTTCTACACTGAAACCAGTCCTATCACAACCTCATTCCTCCCCAAGGGCTTTGGACTCTGGTGTTGCTTGAAATACACACTCAGACCCAGAATCGTTGAATTTGTTCCTTCAGATTGTCCTTTATCATGGTTGTGATGATCCACTGGTTCCATTGATTAAAATCCAGAGGTCGAGGTCAGGGGTGGGAACTCTAGTTAGATTAGTAAATGTCAGTATTCTTTGGTCAGACTACACCTCAAATCCTTATCATCTGTCTTGCAAATTCCCCATTGACCACAGGGAAATATCACCCAACGGTGAATAATTAACACAGCTCAATCCATTAGCAATAGAGTTAAGTAAGGGTGATTGCAGGGTCATCTTTGCTATAAGCCACCATATGGTTTGCAGGAAGCATGATACAGCCAGTCAAGGAAGACTGGTAGAGAAAGGACCTGGTCAAATGGTTTGGCAAGTCACTTACCTTCTCTGGGCCTTAGTTTCTTCATCTATAAAATGTGCTTATTGGACTGGATTACCATTTCTCAAAGTGTTTTTTTATTTTATTTTATTTTATTTATTCATGAGAAAGAGAGATTGAGATAGAGATAGAGAGAGAGAGAGAGAGAGAGAGAGGCAGAGACACAGGCAGAGGGAGAAGCAGGCTCCAAGCAGGGAGCCCGACGTGGGACTCGATCCCAGGTCTCCAGGATCACACCCTGGCCAAAGGCGGCGCTAAACCGCTGAGCCACCCAGGCTGCCCTCAAAGTGTTTTAAGGAATAAAATATTCTATGGAATATCACTAGGTGTTACTTCTGGGGGAAAAGGTTATGTGGTCAAATATCTTTGAAGAATGGTGGATTAATGCAACTTACATTTCTTTACTATAGTACTTCTCAAAAGCCTTTATATGCCCCTTTGCACACTTAATCTCTGAGAAGGATAAAGCATGTTGGGTTCTTTTGCCAAGCACTCCAAGGAACTATACTTCTTTGTGAATACCAGACTTGATGGTTCATAATTCTATCTATGATAGAGGGAGGCCTCATAGGAAATTTTGGTATAGTTAAAAAAAAAAAAGACAAAGAGAAAGGTAAATTTCTTAAACTCTTTGGGCCTTCCAACCATATATAAGGTTGGAGTTTGTGGAATGATCCACCACTTGCTCACCTGGAATTTGGCAGATATCACATGTACCTGCAGCCTGGAAGTCCCAAGTTTGGAGTCATCAGCTGGATTAGGTCTCTGCTGTAGAAACTCCTAGTATACTGCACAAAGACCCTGGGAAGAGGGGCCCTGATAAGTAAGGATTCATGAAGACATCAACGGTGACCTGTTTCTTAGATTATCACCTCTCGAAAGGTCAAGTGGCCTGGCAAATTTTGAGAGCAACGGGAGTCTGGCAGCTGGAATGCTGCCCAAATATGGAAAATAAAAGTGGGCCTGGCATTTTGGGAGATCAGCAGCCAGAAGGGTAGCTGAGTGGTGGCTGGGGACTCTGACACAAAAGCCAAAAATTCTCCTTTCCAATGTTTATACCATGCTACCGTACACCTAGTGCTCTCTTCTCTTCCCGCACAACATAGCTCCACTTACGACTGGTTAGGATGATCTGTGTCTAGTTCCCAATTAGCTAGACATAATTCTGTTCAATCAGTATGGCTTACACATTCATCTCTGGGGAGGGATAGTTTTTGAAATTTTGCTTCCTATGGCTTGACATGTCCAGGTAGCTGAAGAGGACCGCAGCAACTCCTTTTTAAGGGGATTTCTAGTGTGATATATTTCAGCCATTCAGAACACAAAATGTACAGTTTTGTTAATTTCACTAACTATGCAGATGGAACTGGTTGGATTACATAGGCTCTGCTCCTTAAAGAACAAAGTCCCAGAACCAGGAAATAAAAGATTGAAGGACTGAAACTAATGTAACATTGTGTATCAACTATACTGAAAAAAAAATTGAAGGGGACTACATACTTTTTCAATCCCAAATAAAAAGGAACAGTAGCAGAGCTTTACCTACAATCCAAAAATCAAAAAAAGCTTTCAGATCCAATTTCACCCACTTCCCATACATACTTTTGGCCATCATAGATTTTACCAAGCAACTTAATGAAGATTTTCCTAAGCCTATGAAGTGCTGCTGTCTGCCCTTCTTCGCATCCCTGAGCTGCTTCACGTGACCCTGATGCTAAGGGTGGGCTATGGATTTCATACCTAAACCCAAGCATATGTCAGATCTGTCTTAAAGATTATATGTATCTCGGTTCAGCGATTTAGCGCCACCTTCAGCCCAGGGCCTGATTCTAGAGACCTGGGATCAGGTCCCATGTCGGGCTCCCTGCATGGAGCCTGCTTCTCCTTCTGCCTGTGTCTCTACCTCTCTCTCTCTGTGTGTGTGTGTCTCGTGAATAAATAAATAAAACCTTAAAAAAAAAAAGATTCTGTGTATCTCAGCTGTTTTAAACTAAAAATTCCTAAACTCTTCCCTGTAATGAGTACTATGCCAACATAAGTTTGCTTTAGGAGTGATGATTTAAATGGTCACATCTTTTTTAAATTATGTGATAGTTTGTACCCTTGTGTGAACTAACCGGTACTTCTTCACTGGTAGATTCATGAGATCAGTAACATCCTGGCCATCACTGTGGCCATCAGCTGGCACTGTGCACCAGGCCTCTGGTGGATATGCAGGGTGCAAGGAGCCTGGCTGAGAGTGAGGGCCAGAGTCCAGCATTAACTCTGCTCCCTGAACCCTGTGGTGTGGGGCTACAGGAAGCTGCCTCTGTCCAGAGAAAAAGATGTCCTTTCCTGGGTCATCGAAAGCATGCTATACACCAGTGGAGGTTCTAATGAAAGCTCATCATTTTCTCCCATTAGTATTATGATGATTTCTGTAATTAGTTGACAGATGCTATAGTTCTTGAATATATCCTTAAGTTGTATTTATTTAAGTGATCTCTACACCCAACATGGGGCTCAAACTCATGACCCTGAGATCAAGAGTCACATTGTCCAACTGAGCCAGCCAGGCGCTCCTTGAATATATCACTTTTATCGGTATTTGAGAACAAATAAATTGGGAATTCCTTTCATGAGGAAAGTCAATGATACTATTCCAACTTACTAGTAAAGCCATTAAAATGCTAAATGTTTTAATATTAATGTTGAAATATTTTTGCAAAACTGTTAAAAGAATGTGTCTAACATCATATTTTCTTCCCAACAGCGTATTATTAGAGGCATTACTCCAGAAACTGCGACAGAAATTCCCTATGGGGACATCCATTTGAATGCCATATAACATGCTTCAGTGAGAGAAAGTGGCTTCCTAACAATCTCTTCCTCTGGTTCTGACAAGTCATGCCTCGCCTTCACCCCTCTAAGTGAATGAGTTTCCAGCTACCCCTGACAATGGAAGGGACTTCTCATGGAGAGATGGTCCCAGAAGACTATGGGTGCCCAGACTCTTATGGCCTCCAATGACTTGTTTCTCTGAAATCTCTTGGACATATCACCATGTTAGCTCTATGACATAGCTAAACTGAACTATTTTAGATGTGTGAGGCTGTGTATGGAGGTCATGAAAGCCACCACCTAATCAGGATTAGGTTTAGAATCAAGTTTGTAAAAGTCTCCTGCATCATTTCTTGTTATGATCATTGGTATCTGGCATCCATTTGCTTCTAAAAGTTTCACTGTTCATAAATGCATAAACCATGTAGAAGAAAACAGGGATGCTGTTTTGCTAGCCATATATTTTCTGAGTAGCATAGAATTCTATAGCTGGAATCTACTAGAACCCTGTAACAACCCATGTGCTGCTGTGGAGTCAGGAAGATGTAGAAACTAAATGGAAATAATGTATACATGTGAGCCTGTGTATATGCTGTTGTTTCAGTGGATCCTTATCTCTATTCTAATACTTTGGGCCCATTACAAACTATATGAATTTGCTCTGATTTTTCTTACATTAACAAATGTGTATGTATGTTATTATAAGGGTATAACTACTACAACATGCTCTGCCACCTTCTTTTCCAGTGACATTGCGTTAGCACACACCTTCCTTTATGGGCCAGTGTCTAGCATTGCTGCACTTCATTGCTATCTTCCTGTCTCTGCCAGCTAAACATTCAGGATAATGTTCCACAGGCAAATATGGCCTATTTCATTAGGGACTGTGGCTTGGCCATAAACTGCTTTGTGGAAGGATACTGACAAATGCATCTTCAATGTTCAGTTGACTATCTGGTTTAAGCTCTGTTTCAAATGACTGGGTTTGACTGCTCAGGTTACTCTGCTTTGGGAAGAAAAGTTAAATCCAATTCTTGCTTATAGGGCATAGGTCTGGCACCCTGACCTTAACCAAGGTCACCCTCAATCCAGAAGTGATTGGAGACTCTAGCCTTAAGTGGAATTCCCCCAACCCTTCCTGGTTGGTCACCAGGATTGTGAGCCCTCCAGATAATATTCAGGATTGAGTCGAAACTAAGTAAGGCTAATTGGAAAAGGGTCAGTTAAGTGAATAATAACCTTGCATCCCACACAAAGCCTTTGATACAAATCAAGTAAATTTGACCTTTGGTGGCTTGTGACTTTCAAATGCATGAGTGAAGAATTTATCTTGTAGTATAAAATTCCTCACCAAAATCTTTTTTTTTTCCTCACCAAAATCTTAAAGCGGATAAAGCCTAGTCAATGATAAAAGGACTCAGTCATCTAACCCCATATAATTTCAGTCCTCTATATATATTGAATTTAATTCTAACAGCCTTATAGAAAGAAGACTCGTATAGCAGAGGCTTGGTTTTATCCAATTATAGATCTTCCTCTCTTGGTTTCTTTCACCAACAATCTGCCCCAGCCATTTCCTTGTATTTCCCCTATATCCTTCTATTTCTGATTCTTTGCTTCTCTCAGCAGGATATTTTCCTTATAGATGTGTGCTGCTGAGAAGTTTCCCAAAATATTAGAGGAAAAGAAGAGGGGTTAAAAAAAATGTCCCTCACTGACCTACCTTCATTATCTTCACTCTTTCATTCCTTCACGCTACCTTGTTTTCATTCTCTTTTCTTCCTAGCACGCTGAAAGGAGAGGGGTTGTATAAGTGGCAGCATATTCAGTGGTAAATAGCTTTGCAAATTTTAAGAATTACTTTATAAAGATATTCGGATATGAATTCTTTCCATTCCACACACACTTACACATGCTCCAAAGATATTATTTCTTAAAAGCACTTTTTCAAAGAGAGTTAAAGTTTTGCTGAGACAGGTGTTGAGGGAATTCTATAGGTGTTTTGAAAAGTTTTCAGACTTCACTGGACTTAAAAAAAAAAACAAAACCAAAATCTCTGTTCTGCACAGTTTGCATTTACTTGATCCCTATTTATCAGTATTACTATGGATTTTTTTTATAGATTTTTTTTAAAGGAAAACTTAGAAGTAGGTAGATGGACTTTAAAACAATCTTTTAAAGACCTTTTACACCTAATGTAGTATATACACAAAAGTAAAAAAAAATAAAAATGGAATTGAATTGTAAAGTTAAGTACTGAAGTGAATTTTTTTTTCTGTGATTTTATTAGTAAGAAATAGGCAAGACACAAGATAAAGGCATGGAGGCAATTCAACTGATTAAGATTGTTTCCTATATTGATAAGCAATGAAACCAAAGAATTGATTTGCCTTCCAGAAAACTTACAACCCGTTTAAAATTTATTACATTTGTTGTGTAGAATGCATATGACTTGTAACCTAAATTCATTGCTCTGGCCACCCCATCTGGAAATGGAGGCAAGACCCTGACAAAGTAAAAATAATAGCTCCAAGATCAAACAGTGAAAATCAAATCAAATAATGAAATCTCACAATAGGGAAAAAAAAAGTTATTTAGTGAGCTGGCTCACTTCCTCATCATCTTTTTACTAAGCTTGTTAATTTGATGACACCAATCTCAAAATTTAAGCTTAAATATGAATTTCCATTTAATTCATCCACCCCACTCCAAGCCTGAAAAGGGAGATTACTCTCCTAGAAGTAGAATCATATTCTTTCTGATAAGTAGGAAGGAGTGACCTGATATGTTCCACCTGTTGTATAATTGATTTGGGGTTTACCGTCAAAACAAAGCTTAAAACTATGGAATGCAATGACTTAACTGTGTGGTGTTCTTACACATATCTTAGTGCTTAGCTACAGAATCATACAATCCAAGCCTGGTTCCTTTCTTAGCACATCTCTACACATAAATCAATAACTGGTGTTTAAAATACCAGAATTGTTCAGAATAGTTGTCTTCATTAAACACAGCAGTAGGGATCCCTGGGTGGCACAGCAGTTTGGCGCCTGCCTTTGGCCCAGGGGGCGATCCTGGAGACCCGCGATCGAATCCCACATCGGGCTCCCGGTGCATGGAGCCTGCTTCTCCCTCTGCCTGTGTCTCTGCCTCACTCTCTATCTCTCTGACTCTCATAAATAAATTAAAAAAATTAAAAAAAAAAAACACAGCAGTAACCAGAGGATATTTTTCACCATACCCTTTCTTCGTTCTTTTTTTTTTTTTTTTTTGGTCGGGATGGTGGGAAAGAAAAGCAGTAGGTTCCTCAGAGAGACTATGTCATAACCTGTCATCCCATAAGTAATGTAATAAAAACAAAATAGTCCTATGCTATGTGGGAAGAGTTATATACTTTAAAGTCATCCTGGAGCTCACACGTCATTTAAAATAAAAGGTGAGTTACACAAAATGCTCTTCACTAGAAGTCGAGCTTATGTTAGAGAGAGAAGTTTATAAATCCAAATATGGGAAAAGAAATGTAACCACAGAGATTGTCTCTAAACTGCATAAAGCTGTTCTGGCCCATTTGAAACATTCTGCTTTTTGAAATTTTTTTTCAATATCAGAGATAAGTAAATTATCTTATTAAAATTCAGTGTGATTAGTTCCATGGATGGAAATCTCTAAATTTTTTTCTTACTTTCCCTTCATTGCTTAAATCTTTAAATTTTTATAATAGAACAATATTTTGAAGTTCAGATAACCACATTATAGGCAGAGCAAACTTGTGATCTAACTTATTTCTATGCCCTTCTTGGGATCTGGAAATTTCTAAACAAAGGTGAGGTTATTTTCTCTGCTAGAATGAAATAATATTCCTAATTGGTTTAATGGAATTAAATTTAATTAATTAAATAGATAATTAAATTTAACTTAATTCCATTTACCTTAATGGAAAAGATAAACATTTTAAGATGGAATCTTAATATGTCCTTCTGTTTTATTAATTGAGATCTAAATTGTTTCTAAATTGGGTGTTTCAGAACACCCAACTCATCTTTTCAAGGTGTTTTTTTTTTTTTAAGATTTTATTTATTTATTCATGAAAAAAACAGAGAGGCAGAGACATAGGCAGAGAGAGAAGGAGGCTCCATGCAGGGAGCCCAATGTGGGACTTGATCCCACGACTCCAGGATCACACCCTGGGCCAAAGGCAGGCGCTCAACCGCTGAGCCATCCAGGCGTCCCTCAAGAGAAGTTTTTTTTTTTTTTTTAATGATTCACAATATATTTCAGTTGGAATTTCAGATGGTATTTCTCTTACCAATACATCACAATATCCAGGCCAAATTACTCAACTAAATTATCATTTATTATTAAAGATCATTTATTAAAGATAATTTATTTCTAACAGTTCGTAAACACTGACAGCCCAAACAACAAATATTTGGGGAGGAGGAGTATTCCAGCTTTATGCTAAAATACTATAGCCAAATAAGAACATTTTCTGTTTTTTTTTTTTTTTTTAAGCTATTTTGGGGGCACCTGGCTGGCTTAGTCAGTAGAGCATGCAACTCTTGATCTGAGGGTTTTGAGCTCAAGCCCCATGTTGGGTATAAAGATTACTTAAGAATAAAATCTTAAAAAGAAAAAAAAGCTATTTTGAAAGATAATTCTTATTCAAACTCTAATACTAGAAGTACACTTTAATAAAACTTGGTATGAAATATGAAATATGAAAAATACATATTTTAAAAGATAAAATTAGGGACTTGCAGTTATTTCTCCAATGGCATTTAAAATAGGATTTGATTGGGGCACCTTGGTGGCTCAGGGAGTCGAGTGCCCCACTCTTTATTTCGGCTTAGGTCATGGTTTCAGGGCCATCAGATGGAGCCCTGAGTTGAGCCCTGCCCACAGTGGGGAGTCTGCTTGGGATTTTCTCTCTCCCTCTGTCCCTTCCTGAGTCACACACTCTATGTCTCAAATAAATAAATATTTAAAACAAAATAAAATAGGGCTTGATTTACAAACAATTTTTCAGGATACTTTATGAGTTGGACATATCAGTAAGGTGCTTCAAGTTCTGGGTTATGGTTAATTGAATTATATAAATGGTATTTCTTTCCCCTCATCTTTACTTTCTTCTTCCACATTACCTACAGCTAAAATTAAGTAAATTCCTTCTTCTATTCACTTCTGTCAACAGTGGGAATATGAAATTTCTCAGTTATTTTTTACATGAAACAATTATTTTTAAACTTTAGTGGCAGAACTAAACTACGTTTTATTTGTATAAAAGTAGAATCCCCTCTTTAAGATGCATAGCATGCCCTTGTATTCATTTATGCAGTTTAGTCATAAATGGTCTGAATTAGAGAAGTCTTGGCAAATGTTGTGAACTATAACTGTGATAGCTCTTAATAGCCTGATATATAGCTTTGTTCTGTCTCATAATAAAAACAAAACTCCCAAACTCTCAAGGTTAAGATAAAAATCTTAATTGTATATTATCAAAACATTTACACAATTCCCAAACACTGCATATCATTTACAAATATTTCGTATCAAAACTACCTAGAATGAGAAATATTAAATTTCAGGAAAGCTAAATTATTACAAGTCCTTGTAATTTGTGTAAAATTTTAAAACTAAAGTTTTAATGTATTTTCACACATATTATCTCACATGATCATCAGAGCTCTGGGTGACAACAGTTGTTATTTCCCTAGTGTTGCTGATGAGGAGCCTGAGGCCCAAAGAAGTCAATTACTTCTCTCAAGTTCACAGCTGAAAAGTTGCAGGACAGGACTTACACCTTGGTTTTCTGATTCCAGGCCAAAGGTTATTTGCATGCTGTCTTTAAAATCATCATCCATAGAAGCCTAAATACACAGATCCTAAATTCAAAAATGAAAATCATGTGTGATGAATTTTCAACAAATAAGGACATTCTCCTACATAGTCAAAATAGAACCATCAAAAGCAGGAAAGTGACATCGATGCGTCACTGCCATTTAATCTCAGACCCCGTTCGATGACGTACTTTTAGCAAAAGGATCCAGTCCAAAATCACACTTTTCATTTAGTTTCAGGTCTCTTTTGCCTTCTTCATGCCAGAACAGATTTCCAGTCTTCCCTTGATTTTCATGACCTTGATACTTTCGGAGATTACTAGTCAGATATTTGGCAGAATGTCCTTCAGTTTGTTTCGTTTTATGATAGATTCCACATAATTAGATTCAGGCTAAGTATTTTTGGCAAATATTGTGGAAATGATGCCGTGTTCCTGTATCTGGTGGAGCACAATTTGATTTGTTCCATATTGGTGTTAACTTCAATCACCCAAATAAGGTTGTGTCTGCCAGGCTTTCCACTGTAAATTTTTTCTTTTTGTAATTAATTAGTATTTTGTAGGGAGTGTTATTCTGAGACTGTGCAAATATTCCTTTCCTCCTCTTTTATTCATTTATTTTGTTTTATGGATTCCTATTTTGTTCAGTGGGCTGTAATCATTAATTTTGATGCTCAATTGATCCCTTATTTAGCCAGTGAGAGTCCTGGCAATATCGTTTCTGTCCCTTTGGCATGTCCTCATCATTTAGAACACTTCCTTCCTTTCTGGAATAAGATGTTCCAGGATCATCTTGTACTTTCCCTGTGACAGCCTTTCCTTCAAGAAGCCCTGGTTCATTTTAGTGAAGAATGTATTTAGAAACCAAGGTCTAGGGGGTAGATATGATCATAGTGAGTTGTCCCTGATTCCAAGTCTCTCATTGGACAGAACAAAATCCTGTGTGTGCACGTGCATATTCATGCGCACACACACGCATCCATAATTATTTCTCGATCTCTGTGAAAACAGTTCATAGCAGTTATGTCCAGTTCTAATCCAACGCTGTAACAGTCTCAATTTTTTTTTCTCTTTATGAGTCCTTTAGGACAATGAGAAATCTGGCTCCCATTATCCTGAATATATTTACTTATTTGATCGGTGTCCCTGAATGTAAGCAATATTCTACTGCTCCTCTCCTTATCCCAATCAGGTTCTAACACCTCACACTGGGATTGTGCCCTGAACGAATGCCCTTCTCACCTTGCTCAGGCTGACCACCCATGCTGGGCAGTCACCGCTGACACTCATCTCATGCTATGGATGCTTTTTTTTTTTTTTTTTAAGAGTTTGTTTATTCATGACGGGGGAGCGGGGGGAGGCAGAGACAGGCAGAGGGAGAAGCAGGTTCCATGCAGGGAGCATGACATGGGACTCCATCCCGGGTCTCCAGGATCACACCCCGGGCTGAAGGCGGCACTAAACCGCTGGGCCACTGGG